CTTATGGGTTCTCGTTGTTTGTGGTTTGTTATTGTTTCTAGGCCATTTCAGTGGACAGATCTAGGAAGTGTGTGTTTGTGTGCGTGTGTGTGTAAGATTAAACACTTTTTGAGTTCAAATTCATACTTGCAATTTGAATTCAGGACTACAAAGTTAATTAACCTATATTTTAACTGTATTTCCTTTCTTTCATGCCAAATTTTCCATTCTTAAAACACCAGAAAATCCTGTTTTTTTAGTAAAAAGCGACAACAAAGGCTCTCTATGACAGTTGGTATTTCAAGAGAAATGAAATATTCAGGTGAAACAGGAAAAATGGTTTTCATCCATACTAATTATTGCCACTGATTAAATGGAAAGATGATAAATTAGCTTCTCATTCAAGGAGAAGCTAATGCTTAGAAACTAAAATGTACTTTGTACCTAGATTCAAGATTCAATATAAGTGGAGGTTGCTCTATGGTGAAAGAAAATAGATGAGTCTATACTTGTTAAGACATTCAAAAACACTTTTCCAAGTTATATTAGAGGCTCATAGGTGTCTGTATTGAGAAAAATAAACACTTTCGATCAGTCCTTTGCAGCCATCCATAACTCAGGCTCTGTGAAAAATGTTTTGTTTCTAGACCTAGATACCCCTGGCGTGTTCCATTCCTGTGGGATGACTCTGGGGCATGTTCACCCTGATTGTTCCCAGCCCATGGAAATCTGCAAGTGACAAGGAAAATAAGATCCCAATAGAGCAAGTCAGGTTTATTTTCTTGAAAGTGCCCTGCACATAGTGAGGAGTAGTGAGAAGCCTGTCCCATCAGTAGGCCAATCCATTTTAAGGCTCATCAAAGCTCTGAAACGAGCCACCACATAAATAAGGATAAACCCAGTCTAATTTCTGAGAAGCCCTTAGAACACTGACGTATCTCCTCATAATCATGTAAGTAACTGTCATGCAAAGTAAAAATGTGACAGTAGATCTTCAAGGAAATGCTGTGGCCACACACAGGAGAGAAACAGGATCAGGGGAATGCGAGAGAGCTCCATGGGACAGGAGCATAATTTTAGGGGAACTCATTCATTCATTTATTCAACTGCTTATCGAATGCCCACCCACTCACTCTGTACCTTGATACTGTCTCACAGTAGACCCAAATAAATCTGGTTTCAAATCCCGGAGCAAGCCCACTACGTTTGCGGCCTTTGGCAAGTTACTAAGCCTCTGTGCCCTAATTTTTCCATCTGCACAATCAGGCACTAATGCCTGTCTCAAAGAGTTTCTGGAGTTAAACAGGGAAAAGACCATATAAATTGCCTAGCACAGTGCCTGGCAGATACACAGCATTGTAGGAAACTTGCCTAGCCTACCCAAAGAGCTTCACTTTCCTCTGTTAGAGGAGAGAAGGAGAGAGAGGGAAGGTGAGAGGGTAGAGGACTTGAGAGATGAGGATGTAAAGGGTTGTTGCAGGGAACTGGAAAATAAGTAGGCAGACTCAAGTGAAATAATTGTCTAGAGGCACTGAAAAGCCAGCACAAAAAGGTTTGGTCAGGCCGGGCGCGGTGGCTCAAGCCTGTAATCCCAGCACTTTGGGAGGCTGAGACGGGCAGATCACGAGGTCAGGAGATCGAGACTATCCTGGCTAACACGGTGAAACCCCATCTCTACTAAAAAAATACAAAAAACTAGCCGGGCGAGGTGGCGGGCACCTGTAGTCCCAGCTACTCGGGAGGCTGAGGCAGGAGAATGGCGTGAACCCGGGAGGCGGAGCTTGCAGTGAGCTGAGATCCGGCCACTGCACTCCAGCCTGGGCGACAGAGCGAGACTCCGTCTCAAAAAAAAAAAAAAAAAAAAAAAAAAAAAAGGTTTGGTCAATGGGTTTGTTTTTAGATATCTGAACAGAGAGGTAGACAGTGGCGGTTTTCCCAGCTCACTTAATTTTGCATAGTTAGATAACTTGGTGAATTAGAATTTCTTAATTGACAGAAAGTCTCCCCATTCATGTTGGCAGGAGAGAGTGAGTGGGGTGAGGGTATGGCAGGTAAGGAGAATCTGTCAAAATGTGAGATTCACCACTGAGAATAATCATTTTTCTTCCCCAGTGGGAAGTGAGTTATCAAATTTAAGAACAATTTCTCTGAAAGAAAATTCGCCTCTGCTCTTTCCCACACCCTTACCCTTATTATTTGGCTTTGCAAGCATCCCCACAATATAGGCTTATAAATTTAGTTTATCTCTCCCTTAGCCTGGTCTCCCTTTATTATACCACTTTACTGCTTCTTTGGGGCTGAGACTCTAAAATTTGGGTCAAATGTTCCATTAAGTTAACCACTTTAGAATACCAATACCACTCCTGCAGCACTTTTCATCTTCATAGTGGTTCACAAACATCTCCTTCTTCACTAATGAAGATGAGTCGAATATCTTATAGCATCTAAAACCAAAGCTATTTAATCATTGTCTGATGTGGGAAAGTGAGACAAAATGCAAGACCAACAAAAAAGTATATTACATTTCAGACTTGCTGATTCAAACTTTTGAAAAATTCTATGAACATACAGGCAGAATTCATGCCACAAAATCCTGGTTTTTGTAATGAAAATGGCCATAAGCATAATAGCAACACTGCAGGGGTATATTTAGCTCATCATATTTTATAGAGTGCTTTTCAATTCATTATTTCATTTGATCTTCATGAAAACCCATGAGAAGAAAAGGAATTATTATTCACATATTTTAGACAAGGCCTATTGTGATTAATTCACATCCTCAAGTTTCCAGTTACTAAAGATTTGTACTGGGACTAGAACCCCAAACTTCACGCTCCAAGTCCCCCACGAGGTTTCCTACCTGTGCTGTGCAGTTTCTGGAGGTTCCACTGGGGCCCCTCAAAGGATGGGGGAACGGAGCAGGAATGTGTGTGTTCCCTCCTCTTTCAACTAGAGCAGCTCCACAAATATATTGTATTCGGGGCTTCCACATGGATTTCTCCGGTTCGGTTTTATTGCACAGAGCATGCAGCATCTCCTCTATTGTTCATGATCCAGCTGGACTGTGAGCTGCATTCTGAAGTTACTCAACAGGCCTTCAAAGCTCCACTAATGGCAGGGGCAGTTACATACTATAATCTCTCCCCCTTGCCTGCCCACAACCTTGCATCTATAACACCAGCTAGCTGTTCTCGGCCAGTAGAGCCATCTGATGGATTTTGGATGCACCAACTCTTCCTTGACTTCCTTTTCTTCTATATGAGACATAGCGTGTTTCCTCTTTTACCACTGGCCGTTTTTACCTTTGAGGCTCTCTGATTCATCACACAGGCCCAGGGAGTTCTTCCAGATCAGAACCGCCTTGCCATGGTGATGCTGGTGCCTAACACACTTGTGCAGCCAGGACTGTTGAAGACACAAACACTCATACACTCATTCTTTAGCAAATGATTCCATTCCTAAAGAGATGCTCTATGTCTTCCTTTGTCTTCTTTCTTCTCACTTGCACTCTTCATTTTCCCTCTCTTTTGTCTTTCCATGAGCATAAAACAATCAGAACATAGATGACAAGCACAATGCCAGTTACTCAGTATCTGAAAACATTGAAGCCGTTACTTCTGAAGGGAAATTAAGCAAGATAAATATCAAGTAGCAAGTGACGACATTTTTTAAAGAGCCTTCAGGTATAGAATCATCGCAAGTCTTCAGATGCTTCGTCTATAATCACTCTCTTTTTACAAGCATGCCTTGAAAACTCATGTCTCCTTTTCATCCTTCAAAATTCAGCTCACATGTCACTTCCTACAAATGTTTTACTGACATCTCTGGTGAGGCTCCATCACCCCTTCTGATGTCTCCTCCAGAACTTCGAACACACCTTTTACTATGGCACTTTACACATTATATTTATTACAATTGCTTGTTTATGTGTCTGTATCTCACACTAAACTAAGAATTGGTTTTTGGTTTGCTTTGCTTCATCCTTTTGTTTCAAGCAGCTAATTATACAACCTCGCTGAGCACATTGCAGATGTACAATTTTTTATTGTTGTTGATGAATGTGAATTTAGTTAATTAAATGACCACCCAGGATTCGAGAAAAAACAAGCTCATTCTTACTCATTTTAATCTTATTTTTGGAATAGAATTGCTTTCTACTATTCTTCACTGAAATTTGAAGTGTTGTTTTTGTTTTTGTTTTGTTTTGTTTTGTTTTTGCTGTCATATGAGTTGTATAGATTTTGCTGACAAACTTAAGAATCTTAATTTATACATTGTTTCTGTGGAAAAACACATTTTACCTTCTAAAATGTTCAAGCATACACAAAGAAAAAAGTGGAGTTTTGTCCGTGACTATTATATCACATTTCCCAATATCTCACATATACTATGAAGGTGGGAGGCAAAATCTCTGTACTTTGCTTTTCATACAAAAGCCTCTCTCTCTCTCTAATTCTGTTTCTCTCTTCCTTTTCTCTGATGTCTGCCTTGTCCCTGCCCCTAGATCTTTACCTCATTTAGAGAATTCATCTCATTCTCTTCATTCTTCCAAGGTTTACAGTTTGGTTTTCTGTTGTATACTTTATGGTCTACCTTGAATCTGTTATTCACATATTTCCCCCTGTTGAATCCAGTTGTTAGAGGATGAGCACTATGCACTTTTCATTGTTGATTTTTCACAGTGGGATTTCGAAGTATAATATTGAAATATGGGGGATATTTTGGTTCCAGGTAGGAATAGCTCCTAATTCTTCATCATTTGCCATCTGAGCACAAAGCAGACAAGGTCCAAATTTCAGCCTTCACACTCTCTTTTCTCTCTTTCCCATCTTCCATTATTTTCTCCAGAGATGAAGAGAAATGACATAATCAGGTCAATAAGACATTCGTTTTCATCTTGATTGTTCCTGTCTGGGTGCTTAATTATGAGATGTCAATTATTCAACACTCTAAAGAGCAGTCTTCTGAGCACAAAACGTTTTAGTTGTCTGGTATTAAAAGTGCTTGTTTTCTGCTTTCAGGCTACAGTGGTGGCTGTGTTGCCATGCGAGGAAAGCATCCACTTGGTAGCTGGGAAGTGAAGGACTGTCGGCACTTTAAGGCAATGTCCTTGTGCAAGCAGCCAGTTGAAAATCAGGAAACAACAGAGCATGAAGAGAGATGGCCCTTTCACCCCTGCTATTTGGACTGGGAGTCAGAGCCTGGTCTGGCCAGTTGCTTCAAGGTGATACCAAGGTTACATGGGCATTCTTAACAGGACTAACACTATTTTAATTTGATCCATGTATCTCAAATTCCTTTATTCCAGGACTCTTTTTTTTCCAGAACAGTGCCTGACAGACAGCAGGTGCTTAATCAACATTTGTTGCCTGTCTCTATCCTTTCAATCATATTCCAAATAATTTTTAAGTAAAAAAAATCGACACATCCTGGTGATATTGAAGACTTCCTCATGAAGATTGTTATCTGTTCAGCAGAAATACCATGCACGTGGCCAGGCATGGTGGTTCATGCCTGTAATCCCAGCACTTTGGGAGGCCAAGGCAGGCATATCACTTGAGGTCAGGAGTTCCAGACCAGCCTGGCCAACATGATGAAATCCCATCTCTACTAAAAATACAAAAAGTAGCCAGGTGTGGTGGCATGCACCTGTAGTCCCAGCTACTTGGGAGGCTGAGACAGGAGAATCGCTTGAACCCGGGAGGCAGAGGTTGCAGTGAGCCGAGACTGCACCACAGCATTCCATCCTGGGCAACACAGCGAGACTCTGTCTCAAAAAAAAAAAAAAAAAAAAAAAGGAAAGAAAAGAAATACCATTAATCCCTGGAAGGAGGGCACCGTGCTCTGGTTATCACTCCTGGGGGAGAACTCTAAACACCTAACCAGTTTCTGCATAAGTTCCTAGCTCTGACAGGAGGTTTTGCACAAACTTGGCTGCCAGAGTATGAATCTGGTGAGAAAGAATTCCCACACAACAAGATGGGCAAAATAACTTTATTACAGGGTGAGTACTCCTTGGCTGAAATGCTTGGAACCAGAAGTGCTTTGGATTCTGGATTTTTTTAATATATTTACATAGTACTTACCAGTTGAGCATCCCAAATCTGAAAGTTCAAACTCCAAAATGCTCTAGTGAGCATTTCCTTTGAGTGTCTTGTCACTGCTCCAAAAGTTTTGGATTTTGGAGCATTTTGGAGTTTGGATTTTTGGATTTGAGATGCTCAACTTGTATTCACAGATAGGCAGCAAGAAGCAACCAAAGCCTAGGATCTGTGGTGAGCCATTCCCCCAAGGCTCAGGAAAGCACCCCTGGGAAGATGGAATCTTGTCTGCACACGCCCCACTTTGCAGGACAGCTGAGGGCTCCCGAAAGTGCTCCTTTCTGGGTTTTTATCCCGGGTGCCACCTGGATCACTGAGCTAAAGTATTGCAAGACATCCTACTCTAGGAGGGATAAGGACGGTTCCTCCTTATCTCAGGATATTGCATTCTTGGTACACTCTGCCTGAGAATTGCCAAGAAAAAGAGGAAGAGCTGGGTCAGCAAGGGTCATCTGGGGACCTGTCCTCCTGCAATATTGTTAATACACCAAGTGAAGGAGGCAGACACTCAGAGGGTGTTAAGTGGTATAATTTCATATTGTTTGTAAACCAACAAATAAAGTTTTTATTATTGAATAATACAATTTTACTAATAAGGATAGCTTTTGCAGCTTGCCAGACACCTGAAGATCAAACAAATTAATGCATACGGTTGATTTGTATGTGTATAATGTGTGTGTGTGTGTGTGTGTGTGTGTGTGAAGAAATTTCTATTTTTAAAATCAGCTTTAGATCCTACATTTAAATTAGTTCCTACAATCCTGTCAGAAACACTTTTTTTGAAATATGATTTTTTTAAATGTTTGGTGGTTTTGTTTTGGTTTATTTTACAAATAGGGTTTCACTAAGTCTTGGGAGAAAGTTCCCCAGCAGCTCTGCACGTCAGAGCGGAACGAAGACAGACTCTATCTCCGGAACTGTGGTAGCTTGTACGTGGCATGAAGCAGCTGTGAATGTGCTCGATTTAAGTTGTACACATATATAATCCTACATTACGTTCATAGAATGATAGGCCCAAAAGTGGCCTCACCCAGTAATAAGTTAAACCTTAGAGATCAGTAAACTGAGGCATGTGAAATGTAGTGATTTGCCCAAGATCACAATTATTTATTGACAGAGTTGGAATAAATCCCTGGTTTGGGACTTCTGGTCTGGTGCCTTTTCTACTATATATCACCCTGATATGTCAACAAATGCATGGTGTGTGTGTGATAGGCATGGTGGTAGGATTTATGAATTTAGAGTGATTCAGGAAGAGGTTCCCAGAGGAGACAAGTTTTGACATATAATTTAAAAGATGGAAAGGTTGTTCTGTGGTCCACAGGACTTGGAAAGCTATTCATTCTGGTCTCAGCAAATAAGAGCCTGGGGAGGGCTGGCCACAGGGTGTACCTGTCTGGCATCAGAGGCTCAGGCTTAGTGCCAGGCAGTTAAAAATAAGAAGGGTACAGAGGACTGGGATTGCAAGCTCTGGGTCTTCAGTCCCTTTCCCCAATCTTAAATAAGCCAACAGAAGACCTTCCATTCAGCTGGCTTCTTCCTGCCACCATGAAGACAGCTGAGAAGCAGCAGAGATTTTAGAGACAGCTGAACCACTGCATCTGCCAGTTCAACTAAGATCCAAAGACTCTAGAAATAGAGCTACCCTAGGTCCCAGGTCTCATTTCTCATTTCTTGCCCTGGGTCAGGCAGAGTAATGATCAGTCTGCTAATTCTAATCTGTCAGAAGGCAGTCTGGTGGGATGGAAGTTTATGGACTCTGGAAGCAAGGAATTGTAGGTCTAATCCTAGCTCTGCCAGTTTATAGCTGTGTGACCTAAAATTCTTAACCTCTCTTGGCCTGATTTTATTTATCTATTGACAAATATTTACTGAGGGACAAGTACATGCCAGTCACAGAAGATTTAGGGTGAAAAAAAATTCTTCAAAAAGCTCATTTATAAAACTGAGTTTATTACATTCTCATCAGGAATTTGTTATGAGGATAAAAGGAACTAATAGTTTTATGATGACTAGGCACATTCTAGTTCAGTAAATGTTACTTCCTCCCACTAGATTAAGCTCTTATAAAGAATAATGACAATTATATTAATATTACTCTTACTTTCTAGAGCAGAGTTTAACAACCTCACCTTATCTATAACAATGTTAATTTATTTTCTTTTACTATACAGGTATTTCATAGTGAAAAAGTTCTGACGAAAAGAACATGGAGAGAAGCTGAAGCGTTTTGCGAAGAATTTGGAGCTCATCTTGCAAGCTTTGCCCATATTGAGGAAGAGAATTTTGTGAATGAGCTCTTACATTCAAAATTTAACTGGTAAATACTTGTTAATTATGAAAACTTACAGTCAAATATTCTATCTCTCAGTAATGGCTTCTGAGGGGTGAGTATCCCAAGTAGTTGTTTAAAATTCCCATATTTGTATTACACCCAAAGCCAAGAAAAATAAATATACATATAGTTTTATATTTATCTTGTACCAGGTTCTAATTTCATAAAACGAAGAACAAAGTGACAATTGTTTAGATATTTGAAATCTTTTCTTTGTGCCTCAAGTCAGAACTGTAGAGCTTTCCTGCCAAACTCAGGAATTATCTATGCCAGTGGTTTTCAAAGTGTTGTGGAAGGATCCCAGGAATCCTGGAACCCCAGGAGTATGAGAGGACCATGTAGGCAGAGCTCCTGGTTCCTTCCACGCCTCACCAGAGCAGCTCCAGCCAGCTCCACTGCTGATTATTTTGTATATAATGCGATCCTATGTAAGATTTTGTTTGGGAAAAAAAAAAAAAAAAAAAACAGTCCCAGTAATTTTTTTTTAAATTCCAACCCAACCCCCTAAGTTTTCATTTGAGGAAACAAACTTTCTCTTATCTGTATCCACCTTGCAAGTTTACAGAACCTTGAATTCAATGGAGTTAGAAATTCAAGCTTAAATTGGAAGAACTCTAAACTGTCTTGTGCTACCTCCCACCACATACCGTGGTCATCCGCTGTCTGCATAATTCCTTCCAATTTCAGAATGCTTCTTATTTGAGAGAAAGCCCATTCCATTGCAGAAGGTTGATTTCAAAGAGCAGTTTTCTAATAAGCTAGAAATCTGCCTCCCCTCAATTTGAGCTAGAGCAAATACAGATCAAATCTATGCTATTTTCAAATATTTGAAGACAGTCATCTTGTCCCCTTCCTGTGAACCCCCCACTCCCCACGTTGGCCTCTCACTTTGGAATGTTCTGTCAGTCAGCCTGCACTGTGAGAGTATCTTCTGTGGAAGATACATGCATTACATGCATAGCTGGTTGGAGAATTCAATAGATGTGACAGACAAAATCCTGCCTCTGAGGATGTTGTGATCAGCACAACTCCATGGCTCTGTATATTTATTTAATGAAAACAACTATAATAATAGGTATTCTGCTTCGAGCGCTGGAAATCTGAAGTCTCAATGAAACACTGGCCTGAATCCCAGAGAAAAATCCCGGACTATTTTTTGAGGAAAATCCTCCTCGCCTTTCCCACAAGTTTCCTTGTAGGACATTCCCATGACAAGATTAACATGCAACATCTATCAAATTATTCATCTTCCACATCTACAACAATGACCTTAAAGCTGGGAGATTTTGACATCTCTCCATGTGAGTCTCGTGCAGCATTCTGCAGGGAAGGAAGGAGATTTTATCATAAAATATGTTTGCAAAACAATGTACAGTCTTGGAGATTTGCCATGTTCATTAGCATCATAAAGGGTTCTAGAAGGAAGCACTTTCTTTGACCACAAATCCCTTTTTTAAGAACACTTATTGACATCCCACAGAACTGCTAGTCCCTACGGGAAATGCTGACATGAGGCCATGACTCAGGAACCTGGTTCCTCATCACACTTGGTCGGGACGCCTTTTTTACAGAGCTTTCTGGCCTCACACCAGAGCTGCTGAGTCAGACTCTGAGTCTGAAGAAAAGTTTAAGAAGCTTCCTGGCTAATTGGATTATCAGCCAGGTCTGAGGCCATAAATCCAAGGAATAGGTGATAGTCTCCATCGTTCAAAGTTACATTTTACTTCATTACTTTAGCTTCCTGCAAGACATATTTGCATATTCTGCCTTTGCATTTTAGTGAGGTTTGCCATATGACAACCACACACAAACTGCTTCCCAGTTTGCTTTAAGATCAAATGTCACTGTCATTTCTGTTTATATAAGTTCTCGTGCTTAAAATGTCTCGTAGAATTTAGTCCCAAGCATCTATCAAATCATAGTTTTTCAATATCTGATCACAAAAGCCGTATAATATGAGCCAGGCACAGTGGGTCACAGCACTTTGGGACACTAAGATGGAAGGAACACTTAAGGCCAGGAATTCAAGATCAGCCTAGGCAGCATAGTGAGACTCAGTTTCTACCAAAAAAATTTCACAATTAGCCGGGTGTGGTGGCCACACCTGTAGTCCCAGCAAAACCTAGTTCGAAGTTACAGTGAGGTATGATTTTGCCACTGCACTCCAGCTGGGCAACAGGGCGAGAACCATCTTTAAAGAAAATATTTAAAAATTCTTGACTGGGCGCAGTGACTCACACCTGTAATTGTAGCACTTTGAGAGGCCAAGGCAGATTGCTTGAGCCCAGGAGTTAGGGAACAGCCTGGGCAACATGGTAAAAACCCCATCTCTACCAAAAAAATACAAAAAAAAAAAAATAGCCAGGTGTAGTGGCACACGTCTGTAGTACGAGCTGAGGAGACTGAGCTGAGGTAGGAGTATCAGTTGAGCCCAGGAAGAGGAGGTTGCAGTGAGCCAAGATTGTGCCACTATACTCCAGCCTGGGTGACAGTGTGACCCTGTCTCAAAAAAAAAAAATTATCAATAACTGTGTATATTTCACTTTATTCCCAGATTACCAGAGAATTCAGTCAAATCTGATGCTTAATTATAGCAAACATACCAGATCTCATAGTTAGCAGCTATAGCAGGTATGCTGCTTTTCCTTCCTATGGCACTGCTTTTCTATTTCTATTTTATTAGTCAGACATACACACACACGCACACGTATGCACATACATATGTGTTTATTAAATGTTATACAATTTCAGGAAACTGATGAAGAGAAAGTAAATACCATTTCATCTTCCAGGAGCCAGTATATAGCAGGGAAGACATAGATCTCTGAATTCAGTGAGGAAAGACAAAGTTCACAACACCAGGAGAGAGACATGGATTTTCAGCCTATGCCATGGAGATTAGTGTGCTTGGCTTAAACAGAAGGTGGCCATTCTCACCTTCTCCCAACCTTAAATGTAAGGTGTCATCATGACAGTGCCCAGCTGGGCACCAGTGATCTCTTGGATTTCTAAGCTGAATTTGCTTTTAATCTGTGTCATCCAGGCAGAGTAGCTGACACATCTGAGAAGGAATTCCTCAGAATAGGTTTGCTTCTCTGCACGAAGGAAAATAAAGTATCTTTCCTGACATCTGAATCTTTTAAATCTTTGATTCTTCAAAATTATTCTCAGAAAATGATCTTAGTGAGATGGTTCATTGCACAATTAGGCTTTATCACTCGATTGATTGAGGACTCTGTGGACACATTTGTACTCTGCCTCATAGAGGGGAAGGTGACTCTCTGTGGAGCTTCTCGCCAAGTCTAAACCAATGGTGATGACTGAAGTTAATCTACCATGGCTCAGGGTGACTGGCTTTAGAATTATTTATGTTGATATCTGAAAAAAAAAAAAAACCTGTGTACCTTTTATTCAATGAAGATGATGATGGCTGACTTTCAGAGAATACATGAACGTTTAACAAAAGAACAACAAATCAAAGCATAGTAAAGTAGAACAAATAGTATAGTGAGGTAGTAAACACACAGTAAAGTAGCGAAAGGTCCTCTTGGCTAGAGATGTTCCAAAATTTCTTACTAATTTTCTTTTCATGTGTTCTTGTCCTGACTGAAAGGCTTTGCTATTCCTGATGAGAAACTCATGTTCTCAATAAAAGCTGACTTTTCCCCAACTGTATATCACCTGTGAGCAAACCACACAAACCAAGAGAAATAGAATGTGAGGCTTATTCTTCTCTCAGTTCATGTCATAGCACAGCGTTTTGCACATTTAAAATGTTCATTGCTTGTTGACTTGATCAATCCTGCCAGTAGCATCAGCTGTTTCCTGCATACATAAATATTTTTGAATTTTTTTTAACCTTTCACATAATGCTGTAAATTTGATGGGAAAGGCAAAGCTTTTGTTTCTTCTCTTCACAGGACAGAAGCAAGGCAGTTCTGGATTGGATTTAATAAACGAAACCCACTGAACGCTGGCTCGTGGGAGTGGTCTGATAGAACTCCTGTAAGTCTTTTCGAACTGGAGAAAAGGGATGGATTCCAAACAAGTGGCCCCAGAACCACGTGGTAAACCAAGAGAACCTAGAAATGATGGCCAGAGCTCCCATGACAAAACTGCACCAGACCTTGGTACCAGGAGAATTATTTGGCAAGGTCCTGGGAAATGTTTGCTAGCCACATTGTTCTGAGGCCATTGTACAATCTCAGCCTGAAAAAGTATCAAAAACCTCCAAAAAGTCTCCCTAAACCAACCTGAAAAAGAATAAAAAACCTCCAAAAAGTCCCCCCACCCCCCAAATCATCTCCCATATGAAGAGTCTCTCTGGCAGAGAAGCAGCTATTCTTTTAAATAACACAAGACTCCGTTTACCCTGTACCTCCCTATCCTGCATAGCACCTGATGTCTGAGTATGGGAACCTTGTCCATGTCATAATGAAAGGAAGATTATTTTGGAGAATGATTTTTCATTTACCTCACTCTGAAAGGACAGTAATGCAAGTTTTAGAAATATCACCTTCTAGAGCAAGTTGTTCCAGAAGGAAAAAGTCTTGCTTTTCATTCATTCCCATACTTGCAAACCTCTATGAAGGACAGAGAGAACTCACTATTGCGTTTTTTTTTTTTCAGTTGCAATCGGTAATTCTCACATTTTTCTCAAAATGACAGGGAAAAAAACTGAAGTAGTATCCTAGATTGAAGTGGGATCCATCCTACGGCACATGAAAAATCACATTATTCACTTTCACCTGTGAAATGGGGCGACTCCGAGAGACCGCAGTGAGCACTTCATGCAACTGCTGTCGATTGAGTCCTCATGTTGTTCTGAGCACCGAGCTGAATGCACTCCTACATGATCTCATTTCATCCTTACAATAACTCAGTGTCATGGGTATTAGAATGATTAAGTGGTTTGCCTAAAATAATACATAGGAGAGCCAGGATTTGCACACAGGTTGTCTGACTCCAAAGTCACAATGCTATAATACCTCATGGTTGGCAAAATATCAGTAGCCAAACTTTGAAGTAGTAAAGAACAATAGAGAAAGCCCCATACCAAGGTGGTGTTCAAATTAGTGTCAAGGAAGAGGTTTATAGGAGAGAGTAGGAAGAGATTTTAAAGATCATTCAGCCCCACTAATCTATTTTGCTGATAGAGAAACCAAGGCTCAGAAAACAGAAAAGGCATAGCAGGGTCAACTTGCCCCGTAAATGGCAGCCACTACATAGGACAGCTGGGTGGTTCAAGTCAATATAGTACTTGAAAAAGAAAATGTGATACATAGAGGTTGAGAACACTTTCTTTTGTTTTAGTGTAACAAACTCATTAGTAATAGGAGAGAAATAGACAATCTGGCTCAGAATAAATTAGATAAGGCCGTGAAGCAGTGGCTGAGCTTCTCACCAATATCTGCTGAACAAAATGAATTCAAATCACACCATTTTCTGAATCTGAGGCTATACATATTTAAGATAGATGAATTATTGCATGATGGTGTACATGTTTGAGGAAGAACATAAGGGATTTAAAAGCATCCTTTTTTCCCCCAAATTTTTACCCCAATTTTACTTGTCATCCGTCCATTCTTCTGTGAGGTAGTCATTAAATAATTGAGAAGGTTGAGTCTTTAATACCCTTATAATGTGAATTATATGAGTTATGTGGTCGTTCATGGAAAGTGACCTGATAGATTCCTGATTAAAGCTAACTATGGCTCAGAATTTAGTTATTAGAGGCAAAAAACTTAGCATATGTTCAAAGTAATCAAAATCAAAGTTAATACCAAGATCTGGCACACCCTTGAGTCCCTAAGTCTACCCAGGATCCCAAGGCTAGAAAATGTTCCCAGTTGGAAAAAAGTGCAAAAAAAAGCTTGTGTTTCATTTGATCCTTCTGGAGAAAGGAGTAGCGTACCTTTTTTTATTTTTATTTTATCTATTTATTTATTTATTTATTTATTTAAGACTGAGTCTTGTTCTGTCACCCAAGATGGAGTGCGGTGGCTCGATCTCTGTTCACTGCAAGCTCCGCCTCCCAGGTTCACACCACTCTTCTGCCTCAGCCTCCCCGAGTAGCTAGGACTACAGGCGCCCGCCACCACTCCCAGCTAATTTTTTGTTTTTGTATTTTTAGTAGAGATGGGTTTTCACCGTGTTAGCCAGGATGGTCTCAATCTCCTGACCTTGTGATCCGCCCGCCTCGGCCTCCCGAAGTGCTGGGATTACAGGCGTTAGACACCACGTCCAGCTTTTTTTTTTTTTTTAAGCATCTTTAAATTTAAAAAGCTAAATATTGATTAGCTTGTTCTTCACAAATGTGAAATAACCTTCAACTAGAATGACATCCAGACATTTCTGAAGCTTCCTGTAGAAGCCTATAATGCTTATGTACAGGGATGCCCTTTTTGATCTTTTGAAACTTTGTGGGGGAATCATCATTAAGAAATAATGAACTTCATCTGCTGCAGGTTGTCTCTTCGTTTTTAGACAATAATTATTTTGGAGAAGATGCAAGAAACTGTGCTGTTTATAAGGCAAACAAAACGTTGCTGCCCTTACACTGTGGTTCCAAGCGTGAATGGATATGCAAAATCCCAAGAGGTAAAAATATAATAAGATCTTTGCTATGTGTTTGATTTCTAATAATCTCTAGTACTTTCTCAGTTTAAACACCCCAAACCACAATATCAACAACCTGCATGATAAACTAAATTACACTATTTTAGCAAAAAATGTTTCTATACGAAATGAGAAAAAGCGACACCAATGCAGGATGCCAAGGTAGTTCACTGGGAACTGAGGTAACCAGCTAATATTCCAGAACATTTATAATGCAAGTATAGTCCGGGAGAAATGTCACTTTGACATTACAAAGTAAACGGAATTACTTGTACAATGAGTAAGTGGAAGCACCTAGTACAGTGTGTGACACACAGTGGCCTCAGCGAGTGCTCATGTCCTTCGTTCTTTAATCAGAAGCCTCTCTGGAGCCTCCTCTTCAAGTGTGAGAACTCCCCACATATTCCAAACAGCACAATGTACCTGTTTTAAAGTGAAATTTTTTAAAATGAAGGACAAAATAATGTGTTTAGAGCTGAAGTAATTCACAGACAATGCACTTGAGAAGCAAGATCAGTCAAAGTGATTTGCTTTCACTTTGCAGATGTGAAACCCAAGATTCCCTTCTGGTACCAGTACGGTAAGAACGACTCTGCAGCTCTTGAATTTCTAATTATTAATATATACCATATAAGTGCTACTATATAGCATTAATGTGTTGTTATATTTCTCAAATCAAGCCTCTCTTTTCTTGTGTCAACCTCGAGCTAATTTGTTCAAATTAATAATTAATAAAAGTAGTCATTAAATATGGTTAAGGACTAGTATCGTCAATCATTTTTATGACATGTGGTTTTAGAATATGTATCTATCCCTGATCTTTTAATCCTGGTGAAGGTATCTTGCAAGAGATAGACCAAGGAAAAAAAGCAAGTTATTTATCTATTTATGTGCATGTGTCTGTGTGTGTGTGCGGTGTGTGTGTGTGCAAATTTGTGTGTGTGTGTGTATATACAATTATTTTTAATGCTGAGTGACCAAATCACAAATTTGGGGTGAATCCTAGCATACCTATTTATCTTTTCTGCATTATTTTCACTGTTTCTTTTTCTTTCAGATGTACCGTGGCTCTTTTATCAGGATGCAGAATACCTTTTTCATACCTTTGCCTCAGAATGGTCGAATTTTGGGTTTGTCTGTAGCTGGCTGCACAGTGATCTTCTTACAATTCATTCTGCACATGAGCAAGAATTCATCCACAGCAAAATAAAAGCGGTACTTGAACATAACTCACCACGAAAAATTCAGAGTTTAGCACCTTCTTTTGCCCTTAGGACGGAGGGAGGGATGGTTTTCTCGGTTTGACTTCGGATATTTATTTAAATTTCAGTAAAAGCCATAGATTTCAGTAAAACCATAGATTTTTGAGAATTTTTTTTCTGTTATAGAGATTAAGAGAAAATAATGGAGATACAGATTTACTCTATTGCTCAGTCACTTCCCTCCTCTTCACTCTTTGTTAGCAATAATGGTGAGCATGTCGAGATTGTTTCATGAGGTTCTACAGACCCAAATTCCTGTCTTCATGGAGTTTATATTCTCATCTGGGAAGAAAGACCATAATCAATACGAGTAAATAGAATTATATAATATATTAGAAAAAAAATAAGTGGATAAACACCACAGGGGAAAATTAAGCTCAAATGAGAGATGAGGAATACCTGGGGGGTGCCTGGCAGTTTTAAAACTTCAAATCTTACAAGAGTACATTATTTTTAAGTTTGTAAAGACTACTATACAGAAAATAGTAAGGAGTAGTTTTCTATTTCAACTTAAGCTAGAGAAAGTCTACTTAATTCCTTGCAGAACTAAGCTAGTAAGAAAGAAACATGCAAGACCTATTTAATAATAAAATAAACTGGCCAAGGATAGTGTACTTGTCAGTGTGTTCCTTCAGTAAGCATTCATTAGTGAGTATGTGCCAGGCACTGGGGTATTTGTCAAAGATGCAAAAATGTATGAGATACAGTCTCTGTTTTTAAAAAGACTGGATATATATACTTTAAAACATCGTGTTGTAGACAATAAATACGTACAATTTTATCTGTCAATTTTTAAAACATAAATTAAATTTAAAAAATAAAGAAGCTGGAAGTGATATGATGTAGTAAACAGAAAGGGCACAGAGAGTACAAATTACAATGGAGGCATGAAGGCAGGAAATCCTCACTCCCAACTTTCCCTTGGAAGCTTTGAAAGCAAGAAAAAGCCATTTTCTTTTCCTGTAATTTAATCATATTTCATGATCTTCAGGAATCCTTTCTAGCCCTATCATCTTTTTGTATCTTTGTAAGTTGACTATAAAATGAAGCCCTGTGTTAAAGCATCCTAGACTTGAAAAAGAAATGTCTTTCCTCACAGTTCATGGGGATTTACTGTCTCTGTATCCTGTCTGTTGCACATACAGCCCATGAGGTACAAGCAGGTCAGGACTCCTGCTACATTCTGATGGAGAAGCCGAGAAAAAGAGAAGTTAGATGACAATCATGTGGTCCCACAGACACTCAGTGGTAGAACAACTACTAGATCTGGAATGTTCCCCACCATAAATTTGTACACTATTTTGTCACCCTTCCACTCTTACAAATGGAACACTCAAGCCAAAACCATAATGTTCAATATGAGCAAGTTCAATTCCATATCATAGTGTCGGAAAATACACATTTCTTTAGCCAGACACCATACTCCTCACCTCAGAGGGCAATAACAAGAGACCAGATGAATGACTGAAAACTAATCCACAGGCATGCAAAGTATACATCCCAAAAAGAGTTGATATTTGGCCATACTTACCATAACCGTGTCAGGTACTATAATAAGTACTAAAGTGTAATCTTCCCAAGAACCCTCTGTAGGAAGTCTATTATTAGTACATTTTACAAGTGAGGAGGCTAAGACTTCAAAGAGGTTAAGCAACTTGGTTACACAGCAGCTAAGTGGTGGAATTTGGAAAGAAACCCAGGCCATCTTACTTATCCAGTCATTTAAAAACCCTACACAGTGCTGCCTGTGACAGTGGAACAGCGGTGTCAGGACATGTAAGAGCACAATGTCTTCATTACATCAAAATGCTAGTTCCAAAATCCTCCCCAAAACATGGCTGCCAGCTTTGTCTCAGACATGAACAATGAAGGGCTTCTTTGATCTTTCCAACGGAGCTTAGCTCTGCTGGGAACTTCAGTAGATCTTCTGTCTTCACCTTTCCCCTTAATTCATCTCCTAATCTTTGGAAGCTGGGAAGCCAGTGGGGATGGCAGAGTTAATGCCTCCCATAGAAGGCAAGGGTGAAAACCCACAGGCTGAGCAGTTTGATTCATCATAGCCACTGCCATGATCTAGTTGAGGATTCTGATCTCAAATCAGACAAACTTTATGGTGCCTCATATGGCAAAATTATCACCTGGCCTATGACCATGTTGATGTAGAATGCCCAATCAGTTTCATGGGTAAGGTGCTGACTAATCTCCCCACTGTGCTACAAAAGAAAATTATGGGAAGGTATAGGATTTGAATACTGAGAACGGGGCTGGGGGGACTGTCCTAGTCTTTTCAGGCTGCTATAACAGAACACTATAGACTACGCAGTTTACAAACAACAGAAAATTATTGCTCACATTTCTGGAGGCTGGAAACTCAAGATCTCGGCATTGGCCGACTTGATACCTGGTGAATGCCCACTTCCTGGTTCATATATATACTTATAGAGTGGAAGGGGCAAAGGAACTTTCCAGAGCCCCCTTCTAAGGGCACTAATCCCATTCATGAGACGCCCCCACGGCCATCATGACCTTATCACCTGCCATTTGCCTTGTAATATATCACCTTGAGAGTTAGGATTTCAATATGTAAATTTTAGGGGGACACAAACATTAAGTCTATAGCAGGGTCCAAGGGGAAAGGATATCAAATTGGAAAGAAGAAAGTTGTAGCTTTCCAAGAAATTCTTATTTGTGCATAATTTGTGCCTACCTTGGGCACTTAATGGTGGCGGTGGTGATAGTGGTGTTCACATTTTGTAAGAAAGAAACCCTATACCTAAGAACATCCTACTGGAATGGGTCAATCCAGAAGTTATTTCATTCCATGACGAGGAGCAAGATGTGTAGAGATCATTCCACTCACTTCTGTCTCACATCTATCTTATAAATGTAGGAAGAGCACAAATAAATAATTAAATATTTTTAAAATTACCTATGTGCTTTGTATGGCTCCCCTAAAAAGAGCAGTGATTAGAATTGTGAAAAACAAAACTAACATTTAGTTGCAGTGTCAAAAAATTAATTATGAGCAAGAAAGCTAGATACAATTTTAAAAACCCAAAGCAAATAAATTTTAATAAAATGTTTCCATCTTGGAAAAAGAATGTCAATTTTTCTCTCCCACTCTTTGAGTAACAGAAGACCGTAAAGCATAATCAGAGTGAATTTATTTTTTGAGCCATCTTGATAATCACATTAATGCTGAAAAAAAGCTGCAAGCACTTTAGGACTTGTTTGACACAAACTACTAGCTAATTAGTCCACTTGTCTGACATTTTTACACCGTTTTGCAGTATTGTCATTTTGAAATGGCAATTTACCATTATTATTAAATTTTTATTTCTAAATGCTTCTTATAATACATATCAAATCTATTAGTCCTTCTCCAAAATATCATTTTGTCATTCTTGATGGGAGCATTTTAAAAGATGACAGGTTGTTCTTCCTTATATTACTTTATGGATTAATGTATTGACTGTCACTGTGGGGTTTTGTTTGTTTGTTTTTGGTAAATGCTGTTTCCATATGATGCTAACTATAATGGCTGTTTGTGTATACCAAAACATAGTTGATGTTATAAAATGCATGTTCATATGACATTTTTTAAGTCCTGAGCTTACTTCTCTATCACATTTCTTTATGCAAACGCATATTAATAAGTCTTCTATTGTTGTGGCCTTCCTAAGCTAAAATTTCAAACATCCATTTTCACATTGGATGTTCCATTCTGGATATCTTTTAGTATCTCCTATGAAGTTCAGTTCTGTGCCATATCACAACAGGTTGTGATGTGCCATGTGGAGGTTACCATGCCATAATTGAGGTGGTAATAAATATGCCACTTAAGATGCAGCGGTTATAATTCCTCTTTAGAGGTCCTTAATTGGGGCAGAGAACAATCCAGGCCATGATTTCCAGTCCTGTGGCACATGAAACCTCTTTAGATTGAATGATTGAATGAAATTGTTGTGGTTCCCCCAACTGAGTTCACAGCCAGTCTCAGTGGACCCATTCCAAAGTCTGACAATGGGAATCTGAATTCAGCCTGTAAGAACACGTCCAGGAAACAACACCTCAGGGATCCAAAATTACAGTTGTTCCATCTTGCATTATTCTCAAATTGCTGATATGACAAACAGCCACACTGTTTACAGAATAAAAATACCTGTTTATAAATTAGATTGTTAGAGGACTATTGGGTTCTGTTGTATGGAGAGCTGAAATTCCTATGGAAAAATAATATCTCTTAACATTTCTTCCCATGTCTTTACAGAAGAAATGAGAGTACAAATTTAAATATATAATGCCTTCAAATAAACAGGATTTTTGCATATAAAAATTAAGTTACAGTTCAACATACACCACCCACACACCCCTCCACCATTAAGTATACTGATTTACAGGTCTTAGAAAAACCCTTACTGCCTCTTCCTCTTTTATAGTTAAAGAGGGAATTGCAATTTCCTGGGTCATAAGTCAGTACATCTGCCCTAACGTGTGTGTGTGTGTGTGCGCGTGTGTGTGTGCGTGCACACACGCACATGTGTGCAGATGCATGCACATGGTACTTTAATTTTATACTTTATTGTACTTAGGTCCAAGTGATTAATAATGGTGTAAAATTAATAAAATGTAAAAGGGTTATTTTCCTTTTGTTATTGTTGTTCAAGTCTTCTATTTCCTTACTAATTTTTACTACCTTTATTCTGAGCACTACAACATTACTAATACAATCTTAGATTAAATGGGTTTTTTTATTGATGATAACTATATCACTCTGTTAACATAAAATTTATAATCTATTAAAATTCCAATTTTTTGTTAAACAGTTTAATTTTATATAAAAAAGTACATATTTTGAAATGTGTCTATGTTGACACATATAAATCTGGTTCCTTTTTTTATTATTATATTTTAAGTTCTGGGATACATGTGCAGAACGTGTAGGTTTGTTACATAGGTATATATGTGCCATGGTAGTTTGCTGCACCCATCAACCCATCATCTACGTTAGGCATTTCTCCTAATGCTATCCCTCCCCCAACCCCCTACCCCCCAACAGGCCCCAGTGTGTGATGTTCCCCTCCCTGCGTCCATGTGTTCTCATTGTTCAACTCCCACTTATGAGTGACAACATGTGGTGTTTGATTTTCTTTTCCTGGGTCAGTTTGCTGAGAATCATGGTTTCCAGCTTCATCCATGTCCCTGCAAAGGACATGAATTCATCAAAAGGATAATTTTCTAGTTGTCAAACACTGGGCGTTCTGTAGTATTCTTTTGTCCTATATTGTGTCTCTCTATTTGAATGGGAAGGAAAGCTTATACTGTTTAAAGCTTAGCAATCAGACTAATACCTAAAATCAGTATCTTTACACTAATGATGCCTTGATACCTTAAATTGTTTTTCAAATACATGTGACATATGCAATGAATTATAAATCACCGAGAGGGTAAATCACTGAGAGGATAAGCCAATAAATTTTTATCAGAAAATGAATTCATTTTCTAATATTACTTTTTAAATCCTTCTTAGAGAGTTAGAAACACTACTTTTCAAGTTGTATAAAACTAAAATTATTTTCCATGTTTGATTCCAGTTTTTCTTCATAACGAGGAGGGAATATTTTAGAATAATGAAGTTTCAGGTTTTCTCAAGATGCTAGGCCTTAGTATACTCTTCCTTAGATAACTGGGTAAAATACTGAAGAATAGAAAGCCACTAGCAGCAACCCCATTAATCTTAATAGTGAAAAAGGAAAACAAGTAGAATAAATGCTGACTTTTTTTATTTCTTTTAATAGCTATCAAAGTATGGTGCAAGCTGGTGGATTGGACTTCAAGAAGAAAGAGCCAATGATGAATTTCGGTATGAACCTAGATTCATTTGCATTTAATTTTGTTTGACAGGTTTTATTTGCAGAATGATTGGATTCAATTTTAGTGATCAATTTGTTGAATACCCTTCAAACATTAACTTATAAATTTTCACTTCTCTAACAAAGACGTGAGAGGTTTTTAAAGAATACACTTATGAAACCATCACAACAATCTAGCCATAAACTTATCCATCACTTCCAAAAGCTTTCTCTCCTGCTCTGTTCATTTATTTATTTATTCACTAATTCATTCATTTTTGTGATGAGAACACTTAACATAAAATCTACCCTCTTAGCTGGGTGTGGTGGTTCACACCTGTAATCCCAGCACTTTGGGAGGCCAAGGTGGGCGGATCGCCTGAGCTCAGGAGTTTGACACCAGGCCAACATGGAGAAACGCCGTCTCTACTAAAAATGCAAAAATTAGCCGGGCGTGGTGTGATGCATACCTGTAGTCCCAGCTACTTGAGGGGGCTAAGGCAGGAGAATCGCTTGAACCCAAGAGGCAGAGGCTGCAGTGAGCCAAGATCGTGCCACTGCACTCAGCCTGGGTGACAGAGCGAGACTCCATCTCAAAAAAAATCTACTCCCTTAGAAAAACTTTAAGTATATGATACAATATTGTTAACTATAGGCACTATGCTGCATATGAGTATTTTTTAAATTTAATAGAATATTATATCCTCAATCCCTACCTCAGAACGCTAAGAATGATGTTGGAGACTGGACATGCAGAATGAGAGAAGACCTTAACATTTTTAATCTTCCCACAGCTGGAGAGATGGAACACCAGTGATATACCAGAATTGGGACACAGGAAGAGAAAGAACTGTGAATAATCAGAGCCAGAGATGTGGCTTTATTTCTTCTGTAACAGGTTATTTTACTTACCCATTTTTGGGTTTATAATACAAACTGATAATTTTCAGGAGACTTAAAGTCTTTTCCTTGCATCATTTCCATGAGAAGTTTCTGTTTATTTCTCTTTTCATTTGATGTGTTCAGTTTTGTCTGCCATAAGGCTTAAGGATGGACATTTTTTCTGTTCAATCCATGTATTCATGTTCTAGGAAATAATTTACATCTGAATAAGTCCTTCCTCATAAATCAAAACAGCACCAGAAATGGGCCCAATAAAACTGTTTAAAAAAAAAATGCCTGACAAATACTTTTCCCTATGACATTTCAATGGAAACACTTAAAAAAAAATCTATTCCTATATGCAATTTATAATGGGCCAGAACTTTAACATCTGTGAAATTTACTTCCATTGTCCTATTTAATAAATGTTTTGATTCAAGTCAATATTCTTTTTTTCTTTTAATACCTGGCATCAATTGTTGCCTGCTTTAGAATGGCAACTGTTTGCAAGTTGGATTTAGAAGCACATTTAGGTTGAAGATTGGTTTTTTTAATTCTCTTCGTCAGTGCAGTGTAGTTAGGTTGATTGTCCACTCATTCCCCTTCTTTCTAACCATAAAAGATAATGATATCCGTTACTCTAACAGATTCATAACTAACCTGTGCCCCAGACCAGGAGAGGGATAAACATGGAAAATAATTTTGGGTGTGAGGGCCTCTGCAGAGAGTTAGGAAAGGAAAATCCATGTGGTTAATCAGCTTGCTTTTACCAGCAGGTGTCACAACAGCCTACAGAAAGGACTGTTTTGAGAGTCTGGGAGAATAGCAGCTAATCTGCATTGAAAATAGCATTCCAGCCCCTCCTTCAAAATGCCAACATCTTTTGGACTCATATTCCTGATCTAGAAAACTGAGCCTGCCCTTGCAATTGGCATGCATTCTGCCCTGTTCTGGAATTTATGACTTGGATGCCAATACAATGCATTCTATAATCTTTATTCTGAAAATATAGCTCTTCTAAATTAAAAAAAAAAAAAAGCAGTCAGTTTGTCGGAGGCTGAGGATTTGAGGATATATCTTACTGAAAACAAGTCTATATGTGAGTCTGTTTTATTTAAGAGTCAGTGTTAAGAAATGCTATTTTCTTGGAAGTTCTTGAGTTAATTTTTCTAAATTATTATATTTTCTAAAGAATTATAAAGTAGAAATTATCTACTGTTTTAGAATCTTTTTCCTCTCTGTACACTGAAGTTGAAGGTTTTAAAATGAAATTGTTACCCTACGAAGTATTCTTTTGCTACACAAGTCAAATACTCTTAAGATTTTAATCAGTTCTATGATTCAAATTGCAGTATTTATTTAGATTTTTTTAATTTGTAAAATTTCTACATTCTTAAATTAAAATTACTGATTTGGCCCCTTGCCCAGTTAACTGTTGTCCCTAGAGAAATCAGTCATCAGTAGTTTAGTTCAGTTTCTAGATTTTAAAAAATAAATTATGAAAAACCACAGCAGTCATAAAAATAGCGATCAATAGAGAATGCCTTCAAAGAATTGCCGTTGTTCCTAAACCATTTCTAACCCATTTCCTCCTCCAGGACTCTGGGGTAGTGAAGAGTGTTCAGTTTCTATGCCTAGTATCTGTAAGCGAAAAAAGGTTTGGCTCATAGAGAAAAAGAAAGATACACCGAAACAACATGGAACGTGTCCCAAAGGATGGCTATATTTTAACTATAAGGTAAGCTTGCTTTTCAAAAGTTGCCTTTGTTTCACTTTTGTAGACACTAATTTTGGAAAGTGTTCAAAAAGTAGAAGTGGCTTTTAAAAGCTATGAGTTGACCATAGGACCTGGAATGTTTTTGTCACAATTTTCAAGACATTTTTCAAGAAATTTGAGTTTTCCATTTAGTAACAAATCTTTTGGAACAAAAAATTTTTGTCAAAAACAGCCTGGATCCTGCCCCTCATTTCTATACTCAGTTTTGCCATTGGCATAGCCATTTATTGTGCTGTATGAATGTTCCATTAGGTGTGACATATGTATGTATGCATGTGTGTGTGCGCTCATGTGTGTGCGTGTGTGTGCACATGTGTATGTATGTGCCTACATGCCTGTGTGTCTAGGTTCTGCTCCCAAATAAGCTGTAAATTTCAGAGGACCCAGACTCCAACTCCTACTCTTGTGTTTTCCCTGCCTGGAGCTGGCATACAGCTCTGCCCACTAGTGAATTGAGGGACTAATAACTTAGCTTGGTCAATGTCATCTGGAGCCTCATAAAGCTGGTGCTTCCATGCAGATTTGAATTAAGAAAACGAAATTGCCAGTGGGGATATTTTAAACCAGATTTATTATTTCTGATGCTGCCTTCAATTAAGGCCTAGACTTTCCCTCCACTCCTCATATTTTATAATAAAATAACTTTGTAGGCCTTAGGTGGAAGTAATTAAAATGCATCCCAAATTATAATTGTTTAACTCTTAGAAAATTAAAAAACCCAAACTGTGTCATCATTTCATATGCTAATATGAAATTCCTCTTCAACTGTGGACAGCCAATTTTTAATCTAAGTGTTCAGTTATATTGGCAGGGCTTTCTCTCCTTTGTGATCTTCCTCCCATTGTTAATTTGAGAAATGAGGCCGCTTGGATTTTTCACACATCCACTGAGTACCCACTATATATTGTGGCACTAATTTTTAATTTTTTAAATTTCTGGTAAATACAATATAGAATTCACCATTCTAACCATTTTTGTTTACTGTTTACTAGTGTTAAGTGTCATATACTCACACTGTCATTCAAAAAAATCTCCAGGCCTTTTCCATCTTGCAAAACTGAAACTCTACCCATTAAGCAACTCCCTGTTCTTCCTACCCCGAACCCCTCGGCAACTACTGTTCTACTTTCTGTGTCTTTGAATTTGACTACTTTAAATACCTCATGTAAGTGGAATCAGACAGTATTTGCCTTTTTGTGACTGGCTTATTTCACTTAGCGTAATGCCCTCAAGGTTCATCAACACTGGCATGTGACAGGACTTCCTTTTGACAATATTCCATTGGATGGATAGATTACATTTTGTTTATCCGTTCATCCATTGGTGGACGTTTGGGTTACTTCCCCTCTTAGCTAATTGATTTTATGTGTATTTCTTGTATCACTGAATTTTAAAAATATATAGAATTACTATCCTCATTTTACATATGAGAAGACAGATGCTAACAAAATTGTATGACTTTTCTGAAACTTCACAGTGAATAAGCATCAGACCAAGACGCACTTTTTGTTTTCTGACCCTGAGTCTGGTGGTCTTGCCCCTTTTCTACGCCTGCCACTTCACATTGGCACTTGAGTACAGCTACTCCAGAAATGCAAATTAAAACAACAATGAGTGATTTGCCACTACACAGCTACTAGAACGGCCCACATCCATAGCACTGACAACACTACATACTGGCAAGGAAGCCGAACAACAGGAGCTCTCATTCACTCCTGGTGGGAATGCAGAATGGTACGGCCACTGTGGAAGACAGTTTGGCAGTTTCTTACAAAACTAAACATACTTTTACCATTTGATCCAGCAATCACACTCCTTGGTATTTACCCAAAGGAGTTGAAAACTTATGTACACGTAAAAACCTGTCCATGGATATTTATAACATCTTTATTCTTAATTGCCAAAACTTGGAAACAATTAAGATGTCTCTAGTAGGTGAATGAATAAACTGGTACAACCACACAACGGAATATTACTCAGTGCTAAAAAGAAATTAGCTATCAAGCCTTTAAAACACATGGAGGAAACTTAAATTCATATTACTAAGTGAAAGAAGCCAATCTGAAAAGCCTACAATACTGTATGATTCCAACTATATGACATTCTGGAAAAGACAAAACTAGAGAGACAATAAAAAGATCAGTGGTTGCCAGGTGTTGCAGGAGGGAAGGATGAAGTTGTGGAAGATTCTTAGGGCAGTGAAAATTCTCTGTATGATACCACAATGGTGGATGCATGTCATTAGACATTTGTACAAACTCATAGAATGTATAACACAAAGAATGAACCCTAATGTAAACTATGGACTTTGGTTGGTTATGATGTGTTAATGCAGGTTCATCAATTGTAACAGATGTACCATTCTGGGGTAATGGGATATGTTGATAATGGGGGAGGCTGTGTATGTGTGGATCAGGGAATATATGGGAAATCTCTGTACCTTCCTTTTGTGTGTGTGTGTGTGTGTGTGTGTGTGTGTGTGTGTGTGTGTGTGACAGACTGTCACTCTGTCACCCAGGCTGGAGTGCAGTGGCATGATCTCGGCTCACTGCAACCTTCACCTCCCAGGTTCAAGTGATTCTCTTGCCTCAGCCTCCCAAGTAGCTGGGGTTACAGGTGCCTGCCAACACGCCTCACTAATTTTTGTATTTTTAGTAGAAACAGGGTTTCACCATGTTGGCCAGGCTGGTCTCGAACTCCTGACCTCAGGTGATCCGCCAGCCTCGGCCTCCCAAAGTTGTGCCTTTACCTTCCTCTTAACTTTGCTGTGAACCTAAAACTGCTGTTTAAAACATGAAGTCTTTAATAATTTTTTTTTAAACAAGAGTTGCCGTATCAGCTTAGCCTCATGATACAATGAGCTCAGCAGCACTGTGAGGTATTTTCTAGAGTGGTGTAATTGCACTCTAAAACTTTATGATAGTATTGAGGTACACTGTTTTTTAATCATTGATACTTTCTGTATACTTCCTATTTTCTGAAACTATAAAATCTTGCTACCAGGTATAAATTATTTTCACACTTCAGTATGAGAAACTTGTAGATAATATTCAAAAGACACTGAGTATTACTAAGTCTTCTATTAAAACCTTTGGCAATTAATTTTTTAAAGCATTTTTATGGTCATAAATAATGTGACACAAAATTTGCCATTTTAACCATTGTCAAGTGTACAATTCAATGGCATTAATTACATGCACAATGTTATACAACCATCATCTCTATTTCCAAAACATTCTCACTATCCCAAACAGAAACTCTGTAACCATTAAGCACTAAATTCCTGTTCCCCATCCCCTGGTAACCTCTAATCTATTCTCTCTCTCTATGAATGTGCCTATTCTAGATATTTCATATTAGCAAACTCGTACAATATTTGTCCTTGTGTCTGGCCTATTCGCACGATGTTTTCAAGGTTCATTTGTGTTTTAGCATATATCAAAATTTCATTCCTTCTTGTGGCTGAATAATATTCCTGTGTGGCACAGGCGTGTGTGTGTGTGTGTGTGTGTGTGTGTGTGTGTGTGTGAATATTGCACATTTTGTTTATTCATTCATCTGTTGATGGACACTTGGGTTGTTTTCACCTTTTGACTATTGTGAATAATGCTTCAATTAACATTGGTGTCTAAGTCTCTGTTTGAGTCCCTATTTTCAATTCTTTTGAGTGTATACCTATGAATAGAATTGCTGGATCATATGGTAACTCAGTAGTAAGCTGTTTGAGGAACTGACAAATGTTCTTCCACAGCGACCAAACCATTTTACAATCCTGCTAGCCGTGTGTGAGGGTTTCAATTTCTCCACATCCTTGCCAACACTGGCTATTATATGTCCATCCTAGAGCATGTTAAGTGTTATTTCATTGTGATTTTTATTTGCATTTCTCTATTATCTGATGAATTTGAGCATCTTTTCATGTGCTTCTTAGCCATTTGTTTATCTTCTTTGGAAAAATGTCTATTAAAGTCCTTTGTCCATTTTTAAATTGGATCATTTGCCTTTTTACTGTTGAGTTATAGGAATGCCTTATATATTCTAAATATTAAACCCCTATCTAATATATGTTTATAAATATTTTCCTTCTTTCTGTAGCTTGTCTTTTAACCTTCTTGATAATGTCCTTTGATGCACAAAAGTTTCCAATTATCTACTTTTTGTTTTGTCACTTGTGCTTTTGGTATCATACTTAAGAATTCACTGCCAAATCCAAGGTCATGAAGATTTGCCCCTGTGTGTTTGTCTAAAAGCTTTATGGTTTTAGCATTTACATTTAGGTTGTTGATCCATTTTGAATTCACTCCAGTATGTGACAATTAGTTTTTCACAACTGTTAGAACAAGTGTATCCTGGCGTGGTCTCTAGGGAACAGGCATAAAGGAATGCCTAGCTAATCTCCAAATCACATTTCTGGTACAGATAGTGAGCAATCCCAAAGCATGAACACACTGTTCTAGCTACTAACTCATGCCTCCTCTCATGTGTAAAATAGGATTTTTTAATGTACTTTAAGTTCTGGGGTACATGTGTAGAACGTGCAATTTTGTTACATAGGTATACACATGCCATGGTGGTTTGCTGCACCCATCAACCCATCATCTACATTAGGTATTTCTCCTAATGTTATCCCTTCCCTAGCCCCCCACCCCCTGACCGTCCCTGGTGTGTGATGTTCTCTTCCCTATGTCCATGTGTTCTCATTGTTCAACTCCCACTAATGAGTGACAACATGCAGTGTTTGGTTTTCTGTTCTTGTGATAGTTTGCTGAGAATGATGGTTTCCAGCTTCATCCATGTCCCTGGAAAGGACATGAGCTCATCCTTTTTTATGGCTGCATAGTATTCCATGGTGTTTATGTGCCACATTTTCTTTATCCAGTCTATCATTGATGGACATTTGGGTTGGTTCCAAGTCTTTGCTATTGTGAATAGTGCTGCAATAAACATACGTGTGCATGTGT